ACCCACACCCACACCCTCAAGAACGAACGAAATTGGAGTCGTGCACCTAAAAATATTCTCTTGTTAGCAGTTTGATTTTTCAGCTTTCTAGAATAGTGAGTTTACTTTCTCCGCTCTGCCTAATTGATTTTTTAGTCTTGTGTATTTGCTGAATTTCTGCTGCTCTCTGTTTACTTAGAATTTTTTCTCCGCTCGTCTATTTACTGATTTTTATTTTTCCTTTTACCGGGTGAGTTTTCACTCTCGTCTATCTATAGACGCTGCAGTTACTTCTCTGTTTACTCAATTTTACTAAGGTGCATTGGAGTAGTAAAAAAAGAGAAAGATCAACAGTCGCTTCGATTTTCTCACACGTTCAACTGCCAGTAAGTAACTATAACAGGAGACGGTGCCTGTGGATAGAATCTGCCAGATGCAGTGAAGAATAGTCGAAATCTCTAGAATTGAAATATAAACCAAAATAAAACTGTTTTGCAGACCAGTACTCAATATTTGACCTGAGTGAGACGTGTTGTAGAAGTAGAAGGCTGTTGACGAGTCAACATCTATAGTAACAAAATTAAGAGTCATACTTAATTATACGGATAGAAGATCTTATCTAAATATTTACTACTTTCATAGATTAAAACAAGTATTAGTGATTAGAGAGCGAAAACTCAACTAGAATGTTGGAAATACCTTTTCGATTGAAACCTTTTATTTCATGCACATAAACTTCTGCAGCTTCCTTCTTGAGATTTAGACACAGTGATTAAAAGATAAGCCAATTTATAATTATTTTAACTTCTAACCATTTTTCTCGACGACCAATATTTTGAAAAACAGTTTCAGCTCTCACAATGCTCAGTATAGATTATAGTAGGCTTCATGAGTGGCACTCTTTTTTTCACCTTGAAATTCTTGTTTCTTTATAATCCCATAGAAATGCATGAAGGACGAACAGTTTTAGGCATTCGTGTATGTTATGATAAGAATAAAATGAAAAAAAGTACAGAACAGAAAATGTGAATGTTTTTTTTTGCGACATCAAAAGGTATGCTGTGGCTGATTTCACAAATGTTGAATTTTTGTATCGTATTGCATACTTTCTTCTTCAGATTTCTTTGATTATTTCGGATAACTCGACGAACCAAAATAATTGCCGATACTTTATACCCTTCGAATATTGTTAGATTTTCTCGTCATAAAATATTCATGGAAGATTTTCGAACGTCCAATAGTCGTGTATACATCAAATGTCTAGTTGTTCTATTATTCCTCATAGTCATCGGGTATACTTACAGCAGATCAAACAGACAAATACTCAAAGATTATAGACGTTTCTTACAGTGTGAAACTCCAGCGGCAACACCCTTACTGTCAATATGGAATCCATCGCCAACGGCAAGAAAAAATGCAATTGCTATTTTATTTGAAGGATCTATAATGGATTTAGCGCCTAAGGTAAAAGTGCTTGATGCGTATATTTCTGATAATTTGACGGCAGACATCATTATTTTCCACACTTCATATCCTTCGAAAGTCCATTTACAGTCGTTTGCCAGTACCACTAAACGTCAAGTTATTTTCTATAATATAGACGGCATATTTACATCGTTTCCGAAAGGATTCGATCCCTATCTAGAAGAACCAACTTGGTCAAAACGAGGTAAATGGAATTATCATCATATGTGTCGATTTTGGTTCAAACTTATTCTGGATATTCCATTAATTAATAAATATGACTATGTTATGAGACTTGACAGTGATTCAAAAGTAATGGGAGTTTGGTTTAATGTTTTTGAGCTGATGAAAAATAAAACGGCGGTCAATTTTGCTAACGTAGAACAAGCAGATACCGAAGCTATATTACCTGGTCTAATGAAACTGAAAACATTTACACTTGACTATCAAAAGAAATATGGGATAATTCCTAAAAATCCGATCAGATTGACACGAGCTTTTGACATTCCCAATCATATACGCTTACATAATACAAATTTTGATATATTCAAAGTCGAGTTTTTCAAAAGTCAACTTGTTACTCATTGGATTAATGCAGTGGACGAAAGTTTTGGTATATTTCGATATCGGTGGGGAGATCATGTGCTCAGATATCTAACAACCGCAATGTTTGCCACTCCAAACGAAGTACTTGTAAGAACGGATTTCAATCTGTCTTACTGTCATCCATGCTAACATCGAAGGGTGTGGATGATGTGAGTTTGATTGTGGTCTCAGAAGAAAATAATATTCAAACCCACACTCTTTTTCAATATTTTTGGAAGTCGTAAATAAATGCTACTGAACCTCGATTAGTGGTTGTTCATTCAATATCAGATTTCATATTTTCCTTATCGAAAAGAAAGTGTTATACAGTGTTTAAATCATCGGCTTCAAATGCATAAAATTTGTCTACCTGTCTGTCTGTTCAAGCCAATCAGATTTCACCATTATTTTTCCGTTTTACTACTGCGCATGAATACAGCACCTCCTTAGTCAGACCTGTGCAGATGAAAGTTAGGTTCCATTATCTGTTAGTAATACTACTTAGTTTTTGATTTTATAAGGGGCTACGCCAAAAAATAGTATTAGTTTGTGTTAGGGTTTTGTAATTTCACGGTACTGAATACCGATGTCATAGATGCTGAGTTCACTGGGATTGACCCGACCCATAACTATTTTCTATTGAAATGCAAATTTTTGGTCGTTCAAAAATTTAATACAATGTTTCGTAAAAATAAAACTATAAAAATACGTGTACTCATGTTTGAGAGAACATCTTTACTAAAGATAACTAAGAAAGGCGGAGGAAATAACAAGTTTTTGATTATTCTTTGAGTTCATTTTCGCTGGAAACGATGCCATCATAATGACATCTGGAGAAGAATCTATTCCAATGTAAGAGTGCAATGCATGAGTATGAACACACCATGCAGCACCAGCACCTCTACCACAATTGATTTCAAGGACATTCTGATCTGTTAATGTCACATTTGCAAGAACCTAGAAAATAAAGCAAAATATTTCAATCATGGCTTGTATATCAATTATTATGCATCATCTGTTCTGCAATACAGTGAATAGTTTTATCAAAGCTTCTATCAAAATCTCTTTTTTTCAAGAGAATGTGATAGATCTCATTACTTGAAAAATCATCAAATTTCACGAGTAGGACTTGAGTAGGGCTTAAAGATTATTTCATATCTCTTAATAAGATTTTCAGGAAGGACTAAAAATTTTGGTTCTCAGAATGACTTTTTATGCTCTATCGAATAGGCTAACTCATTTTAAAATCAAAAAATTTCCGTATGAAGGCTTATATGTAAATAGGTCTATTGAGGGTGTGGGTGAGTAAATATTAGAGTATATCGAAGACAAATGTATTTCGTTCTATACAATGCTCTGATCTATACATAAGAATATTAATTTTTTTAACTTTTATATATAATATAAGTGATAAATCAATAAGTGTGTTCTTTTTTGTTCTCAAACTCAGATTACTGAGATTATTTTTTATCAGAACATTAAAACTAAATAGTTCATAATCCAGATAGAGGACCTACTATAATATGCTGTAATTATTATTTAGTGTTGAAACTTATTTCATTGAAAATTAATTCTTTATTATTCGATATTTTGATAAATAAACGACGCAATATTCTTCTAAGAAGATGATGGAAATTAAAAAAGAATTTATCTGTTTATAACACTTTAGCAAAATTTTTCTTTCTCAAATAATTTCTAAAAGTTCATTCTTGACAACATGCAAATATTTATTTTTAAATAATCTTCAATCAAAATATGTCATAGAACATTCATTTTAAATTATAAAATATTTTTCTTCTCTTATACTAAAAAACCGATGAGATATCTGTTGAAAGAAGAAATATTGATGCAATGACTGTCATTGACTCAATCATATCGGCGGAGCTTTCAGAATGGAGAAGATGGTTTTCCATCACTATCAATTTTGAATCTTTCTCGTATATTTAAATTCTATAGAGTAAAAAGAAAAATAATTAAATCGTTCATCTGCTGTTGATTGTTTTTAATCAACATCTGTCATAATTGCCATAGATATTTCACTAGAGATCAAAAAGTAGAAACAAAATTTTTTGAGATAAAAGTTATTCGTACTACTCAATCAATATACCAACGATTAAAGTATTTACAAAACAAATTTAGTTTTCTATTTCATTAATGCTCACAACTATTTATCACATTTTAAGATTATAATTCTAAAACAAGCTATATGAAAATTATCACGTTCGTTCAATACAATATCTAATATGCTTGACGGACAAAAATACATTAATAATCCGTTTCTGACATGAATATTAAATGTAAATATATGCACGCTCATCTAATCAAGACAAAAATCATTTACAGACTTATCTGTCTGCGACAGCTTTCCATCAGTGAGTAGTCTTAATGCATATATATATGAAAGACTCTTTGTTATTTTCATATCTACAACGTATCTATAAACATAGATGAATTTTAGTACTAGTAATAATTATCCTCCTCCTCCTGGTGGTGGTGGCGGCGGAGGAATGGGTCCTCCTCCTGGTGGTGGTGGCGGTGGAATGGGTCCTCCACCAGACTTTGGTTCGTCCATGATTACACCCCTCCAAAGGCATGTAGCTTTGTATGGATACAGTATTCTTTTTATCTTTGGCTTTTTTGGTCATGCTACAACTATTACAATATTTCTTCGTCGAACTCTTCGTAGTGTTTCGACGAGTTGTCTATTTGTATGCATGACTATATCCGATATAGTCTATCTAATAACGTGTTTCTACCAATACATTTTTCTTGGTCTTGGTGTTCCCACAACAAATACCAGCTTGATGAATCTATTATGTCGTATTTATACATATATTCAATATTTTTCAATGTGTTGTACAGCTTGGTTATTATTAACAATTACAATTGATCGATGGCTTCGTATTAGATTTCCTTTTCGAGTTAAACAACTCTGTACAAGAAGAAGAGTACTTATTGGTGCATGTGTTATCGTTATTTGTTCTGCTTTACTCAATTTTCATTTAGCATTTCCTTCAACAGGTGTTGTACCTGGTTCAACTGCGTGTGCCATTGGTTCTTCAGCAAGTGCTACATATCAATACTTTTACTCAAACGTATATTCATTGATTTGAAATTTATTTGCTAATATACAAAATATTTCTGAATTCTTTGTTTAGATTTGGCCTATTCTATTAACGAGTCTTCAAATAATCTTACCAACAATATTTCTTCTGGGATTAAGTATTAATATATTTATTAGACTTCGTCGTCAGCAACAACAGCAACAACGATTAAAACAAGGTCGTCGTGCTTTTCTCGATCGACAAATGTTAATAATTATGCTTACTAGTATCTTTCTCTTTTTCATTACACAAATTCCATTGAGTCTTTTCAATATTCTTATGATTTATGTTCTTCGACCAAGACTTTCAGTACAACAACAACTTGAATTTAATACTATTTCTATTTTCGTTGCATCGATCAATTATTCAGTAAGTTTAATCATATTAGATTACAAATTATTTTTTATGAAATTTTAGGCTTCATTCTATATTCATTGTTTATCAAGTCGACTCTTTCGAACAGAATTTTTCAATATAATACATTTTAGACGAAATCAACGTATAGGTATTATAACACAAATGTTGGGTTTAGAAGGATCTCTAACACAAACACAAATTCAATTATTTCAATTACCACCAACAAAATTCATGAAAACATAGACATTCTATTTTATGTAAAAATTTTTTTTTTCAAATTATTCAATAAAATTTTCACCCATCCACGTTCTATATATTGTTTCTCGAAAAGAATTCTTTCTGTTTTTCTATTGATTATAAACTAAAATGACAAAAATAAAAAGCGAGTCAACGACACAATGTCTTTTTGTTTGTGTTCAATAATGGTGTTGCAAGACGATGCAGCTCTCTCTTTCTCAAGCTGGTATTCTCCTTCTAGTGTGTTCATTTGCATAGGCAACACGATCACGATACTGGTTGCGTTTTATCTGCGTGTTCGGACGTACATCGCGTATGTAAGGTAGTTTTGGACGACGAAATGTTTTCCTATACAAATCAATATCCTTAAAGTTATTCCATTCGTGAACAACATACTCACTTGAAATCAAAAGTCTTCTTGGTGATCTCTTGTTTTCGATCTTTTTCGTCATCAGAATCACTGGATGAAGAAATGCGGTCTTCATCTCTAAAAAAAATGAAAATGAAAATAGTTGGATCTAGAGAACTCATCGAAAGTCAGACATTTACCTGTTAAAGAGCGACGTTTTCATCGTTCTATCTCGGTATAATTCTTCGTACGATTGTTGCTGCTCAAAGATGACAGTGACATAGTTTTCCACTTCGGGTTTTTCGGTCAGAACACGAACATCCGGATGGTTGTTCTGTATCTGTTCCTTTCTTCTGATTTCCTCCATTTGTTGTCTCATCGTTTGCAATTGTTCATATGCAATATCTCTTTCTCTCAGTAGGTCATCTAGCTGTCGACGTAGTCGACTAAGTGAATCTAGACTTTGCTGGTTTGTCGCCATCATTTCTTGTTTGTGCCTCTCTAAGCTGATCGTCATTTGTTGCAAAGCTCGGTCGTAGACGCCGTCGATGTGACGGACAGTGTCAGAACGCCATTGATCAAGCTGACGTCGAGCATTCGACAAGCAGTTTAGCGAAAACATCGACTGGTCTATATCACATCGTTGTAATCGATTGAACATTATGTTCACCTGCTTGATCAATGGTAATAGTTGTCCTTGTAACCAATTTTTGTGTTCCATGAAATGATAATGACATACCTCATATGAACAATGACCACAATATGCTTCAGCTCGATCTCTGCACGATTCGATCCAACATTTTTTTGTCATTTTGTATGGAGAAATCGACGTTGTTGTTTCTTCTTAACAATAATTTCAAATGATTAAGTGTGACAAAGACAAACAGACGAAAGCACACATTAAAAACAATTGCTGGATGATTTTTTCAATCAAGAGAAATAAGTAAAAGAAGAGATTTGCACGTTCTGCAACGATGCAAAGTCGATAATGCACAATAGTCACGTGGAGTTCTTTTCGATCGTATTTGCACAAATTCTTGCTACGATTTTTCATCGATGTTTTGAATTACAGGGTGTGAGGGCGTAGATAACTAATAAACATCATCAAGAAAGAATCTACGCAGATAAGTTTATCAAAGGATTTTCTTAGTAATTCAAATTTTTTGAGAGATATTATAACTGACTTCGATAGAGATGCGTTGATATTGTACAATCCCTATGGGCAAGTTCAACTTTCATATTTTGTATAAAGAAATAAAGACAACAGAGATAATCTACATCTTTTTTGCGTAATGCTTCGTTCAGTATCTTAGACATAGATGACGCTATCGCACGTGTAATATTTTTCAAATTTATCAATTTCTTCTAGACAATTCGATTGATTTCGTTTTCAACTAACAACTGTAAATATATTCTTTGAAATATCCAAAGTTTTTGTTCTTCTCTCACATTAATCGAAATTATGCATAATTTCATTTAAAAAAGGAATTGTAAAAATGGTTAGATGATAGCTATGAATATCAAACAGTGAAAATGATAAGACAGATACAATGTGAACATATTCAGAATGTGTTCATTAGAAATCAGTAGATTTTTGCTATTGATCATTGTTTAGTTGATAAAAATCTTGTTTATTGTACAGTGTGTGGAGACTCTTTTTTCTATCAATAAATAAACATCTTTCTATACTATTTCATCTCTTTTCAACCGACTTTAGTTGATGTTCTCATCTTTGACGAAGACTCACCGTCAACATGGAATTGCTTGTATTTTTAGTTGCAAAAGTATAGCAACAATGATTTATCAATACAAAAAAAATTCTCAATTATTGAAAAACGTGGAATTGAATTAATATCAGATTGACGATATCATATAGATTATCTAATAAAGAAACAACAACATTTGTCCAAGCATCTTATACAAAATATAGTAATTATAATTATACAATTGAAACATGTTTTACAATCAATATCAATTTCATTAATTCAAAATTAAGTCCTGTTCATGTTTTATTAAATATTGAGAGATAAAGAGATCTTTACGAGAAGTTCCACAAATATGTTATATCGACTTTTTCGACATCAATTTCATCTTATTCGAATAAAAATAAGAAAATGTGAGATGAATATGATATTTACCCACATTCTGATCGTTTTATTTGATAATTGTATTGGTAAGACACTAATACTGACAACATTGATTTTAACATTGTTTTGCTGAATATTTTCTTCTTCTCCTTGTATTCTTCGTAATTTTATGTCACAGATTCTATAGATCAAACGTTTGAATTCTTGACGAAAAGCTTTCGACACAGTAAGATAGATGACAAAGTTGATAGAAAAAGGCATATGATGAATAAAAACACCAAGATTAAGAAGAAAATTTTTAAATGCTTGAATTGAAGGTGTTTAAATTTGATTGTTGATAATTGTTCCATAGATTGTCTGAAAAATTAATAAAATACTTGTAAGAAGATAAATAAGATCTTAAAGATATAAACAACGAAGTAATTCAAAATCTTTTTTGTGCATCGATCGAAAAGTTCTTCTTTGTTGGCGAGGAATTAATCGATTTTGACGAATATTTTTAAATGAGAAAATTGATAAAATTATCATTAGAACAAATAAAACAAGATTACAAATTGTTGTTGAATTTGAAAGAAAAATTGAATAAAATCCATTAGAATTAAATAAACAAATGAAGAGAAATGGGCCAAGTTGTTCAATATTGAATTCGATTAAAATATGAAGAAAAAATATTTTGAGAAGAAAGTAAAAGACGATCAATAGTGGCAACAACGAGCATTGATGTTGGAAAAGTCGAAAAAAAGAATGTGATATAATTAAACAATTTACACAATACAACATTAGAATTAATTATATTTATATTCAAACCATACATAAATATAACACCAAGCATAGATGAATTTAAATAAATTAAATTCAAGAAAATAGAAAACACAAACATTCTTTCGCCACGATTTTTCGAAAAATATCATAGCACTAAATAATTAACCGAAATTACCAAATATATATAAAGGAATAACTATATAGCGATAGAGATGCGTTAGAATAACATTATAACTAGCAGATGAATCTATTTTTGTGTAGAACAAGTCTTGTCTCAATTTAAATCTATGAAGAATAAATGATCACTTCTTTTTGTTTTTGTTTTGAATATACAAGTTAATTTAATCGTCTTAAAATTGAGCTTATTCTATATTGAACGAGTTCTTTCTCATCCTAATTAAAATTTCTATGGGTGTGAGTGAGAATTATATGAATGTGGATATAAGAAGAGTAAAACACCCACACCCACACATCATACCCAACTGAAGCTATTGAATAAATAAAGAATTAACTCTATTCGAGTGAAATTAATCGTACGACAATAATATATAATTTAGATTTGGTTTTGTTCTGTCTCTATCAGTCCAATTATACACAAGTTCATGTGTTTTATGTGATTTAGCCATTGTATTGCCTTGATTTGGTATTCTTACTAATAGATTTCTTATAAAATTGGCTTGCTTGTTTTGAACATGATATGTTATACGTAATTTAGGCCAGTTTAATATTTTATTCCATTGAATAATAAAATGACAAGTGAATTCTAAATTCATGATTCGAACTAATTCATATGGAGGTTGACAAACACGTATAGCACTTTTTGGATACTCAGGATTAATATCAAATGAAACATTATCAATCAGATTTTTCGTTTTACATTTAATATATGCAATGTATTCATAACGTTGACTAGATGACGATGATATTGATTTAGAAGAATTTCCAAATTGTATTATTATATGCTTTTCAGTATCCGATGAGAAAGGGAAAGAATATAATGATAGTTGTGATGAAGAAATATTAAGTTTCGTAGCACAATCAACAACAGGACATTCGTATGAATTTATTTTTATTGTCTCACAACAACATAAATAACATAATAAATGACGACAATCGGATAATCGAAGTGATTTAGATATATCATTGCTACTAATATGTTGATTACATAAATCACATTGTGTTTGAGTTAATTCTATAGCTAATCTTTGTGCTTTACTTTCATCATCTTCGCTCGATTCAGGTTCAATTCTTTCAATGAACAAATCGTTATTTTCAACACTTTGCTTTTCATATGTTAATAAAATTGATTCTAATTCTTCTTTTGAATTTTTATAAAGTGGCTCACGATTATATGATGATAAATATGAAATTATCCCGCCTGCTACAGATAAACAAGCAGGAAGAGAAGGAAGAGAAATCTCCGAAGATGTTGTTAATTGATTGTTTACGTCATATTCATTGAATAATTGTAACAATTTTAAATGTGCATTATGTTCCAACCAGTCCGATTGTTGTGAACTTGAATATTCATAATAATGATTATTTGGAATATATTTTCGTACTAATCTGCCAACACTAACAGGATGACCATCATCATCTATATCATACATTAATAAGGCAGGTTGTTTTATACAAACAAAACGTTGAGGATCGTGTGAAACAGGATTTTGTACAGCTAAAAATGATGACATGGCAGGTTTTTCGACCAATGCATTGAATACAGCAGCTGCTCCTTGAGAAGAACCAATGAGACAATATACTTGATGTGTTATTGGTGAAATACAATCAATTATTTCTTCAATAAAAACATCAGGATAAGAACGAATTATTTGTTTATCACCATCTGAACGACCATAACCAGGACAATCGATGGCTACAAAATAATAAGGAGATAGCGAAGACGATGATGATGATGTTGCTAATAATAATTTTCTCACAAGATCATTCCAAAACATTGAAGAATTTGTAGGTCCAGACCCATGTATAAGTAAGATACATTTCTGTTGTTCATCATATCGATGTCCTGCTAATCGAGCAAAGATTTTTCCATAAGAACGTGTATGAATATAAACTGTACGACGATAAAAATATTCTATTGGATCATTATAATCACCGAACATAACGTCACTCGTATCGATATATTTACTAAGGTTTTGTGTTGGAATTGATGTACGTTGGACACATTTAGCTATTTCTGAATATTTTAAAGTATTAACACTTTCATAGAGATCAATATTTAATGAACTAATATGAGAAATTAATATTGTAATAGATTGTCTTGTTGATAATGATGATTGAAGTAAACGAGTTAATGTTGAATCTCTGTATGGAATATAAGATGGTGATGATGATAATGCATCTAATACTCTTCTTAATTGTAATAATTCAGTATTAATATTAACTGCCTCACGAAATCTATCACCCTCAACTTTTGAACGTGAAATATCTTCACTACCAGCTAAATCAATTAAATTTAAACGACCTAAATAAGATTTATATTCTCTGGATGTTGATGTTGATCGTTCTCTTCTCTCAATCCATAAAATTAATAGCGCATGACTTCTTGATGATGATGAATTCATAGATGTAAATGCAGTTCTACGTTTTTCATTACCTTGCATTAATACATTCTCTAATTCTAGACTATTATCTACAGGTATTTCAACTGCATTTGCAACATTTATATTACCCTGATTGTCTTCACGAATGTTCAAAGAATGTGATTTTTTGTTTAGTAAATCATAAACACGAGCATTATATACTTCGAAATAACTTACACGAACTTGATATTGTATGGATGAAGATGATGATGATGATGTAAGTTTATGTATAGCAGCAAATAGATATCGACTTGTTCTTGGTATAATTCCCATTAAATCAATATTAAGAGATAATTTCCCATTAGGACCTAACATAGTATATGTTTTGCCACTATTTGTTTGACCATATGCAAATATTGTTGAATTATAACCATATAATGGAAAATGAAGAAGCGAACTTATTGAATCGAATAGATCATTTTGAGTTGATTCAGGTGGAAATATATTATCAAATGACATTGAAGGTGAATTAGGTAGAGTTAGAGTTGTATTATTCTTTGAATATTTAAATGGAATTGTTTCATTTTCATCGTTTGGATTATTTGGTTTAATTCTAATGAAAACTTGAATTGGTGATAAATTATTAAGATCTATTGATGATATAGATGCACTCATTATTAAGTGCGTACGACAATGCAAATTAGAGTATGTTCACGATTGATCAAAGAATGTACTACTGGCACCAGAAAGCAATTTTCTGTCATATAAATGAAACATAAAGCAGAATAGTCATCTATTAAAATGATGAAATAAAAAATTGTCGACTAATGCTGACTAATGTTTTATTACATTTTTGTGATGAAATATCATGAATCATTGTTTTTCTTTTCCTGTAATATGACTAACTGCTTCTTTCACTAACGTATACTAAATTGCTTCGATGAATCATAATAAACTATGTTCTGTTGAATTGAAATGCATCGTTATGAGAGAGTGAGAAGATTCTCATAATCAATGTCTATACGCTTATTCCTCACTTACATCCTCAAAATGATTAATGATGAAAATATGATATACTTAACTTATTCTCTAATACTAGAAGATCTACTATCATAAGAATAATCAGCCGAATAATTTGTTGGTTGAAGTTGCGAAGAAAGTATTTCCATTCATCTATGTCCTTAGATGATATCTTTAGAAACATAAAAATCATTTAGTTTAGAATTTGTTTGATATTTTAAGAAATAGATAAATTATTTTTTGTTATATCATTTAAAAACTAGTTTTTTTCAATTGAAGAAAAATCTTTAAAATGATAAGAATATTTTCGCATCGACATTTACGATTACTTTATACAAATATTTAAACAAAAATCTCTCTTATTAGATCATATTATAATTTAATTAATGAAATGATTCCAAGTGCAACTGTAAGTCAAGTATTAAGATCTTCTACAAATATTCATTATCATTGCTTATTCATTTTTATAGTAATTAACATTGAATTAAAATTGAAATTGAATTTTTTTGTAGTGGAATTAGGAGATATTAATCATGCTGAAAACGTTTTTAATAAATTAAAAAAGAAAACAGTTGCTATTTATAGAGTAATGATGAAAGGTAACAGTATTAAATATTAAAAATAATATGACACAAAAAGCAATTGAAGCTTACTTTAAAATTTCAAATCCAGATGAAAAATAGATTTGATTATTATTTAATGCATGTGCTCGAATCGCAACTGAAGAAACATTGAATTTAGTAAAGAAAATTCTATTTAATCTTCCAGATTATTATCAAAATGATAAATATATTCTAACAACTTCTTTCGATGGATTTATTAAATCTAATGAGTGCGCATATAAAAAAACTAATCAACCAGAAAAAATTAAATTGAATTAAATCCATCAATTTGTGTCTTAAGAATCAATGCATGTTCTACCATTGGAATATATTCAATATCTTTATAAACTTAGTAACTTACTTAATATGTCTCATAGAAATATCAGAGCTAATCGACAATCTTTAAGATAGAAATAGAGAAAAACATTATTTTTCCTTACTTTTGAGACACTCAATAGTTTCATTCTTATTGAAAATCAATGCAAATTTAATAATTTCTATATACTTATCAATGAAGAGACATATTTATTCTTTCTTCTCTTGGATATTCGTTAGCTATGTACAGATCATCTTCAGCCATTACATTCAATTCCAAACTTACAGGATATAAAATATGAATATGTGCATCAAACATATCAGTTGTTGTCCATTCTAAATATTTCATCGAATATTATATTTTTTGTTAAACTAAATCTTATTTAAAGGATAAATTTCTTTCATTCTTCTCCGTAAATTTACTATGTTGATTTACATGATAAAATAATAGCTTTCATTTGCATCTTTAGTTTCAATAGATCATCATCTTACCTTGGTAAATTTTGTATAAACTGACAATTATAATAATAACTAGTATACAAGTTGCAATATCACTCAAAAGGAAGATCGTTGTAATAATAATAAGAAGAATTAACAATTGAAATCTATGAAGAAAAATGAGAAATGTAAATAATTAAAAAATAACAATAGACAGTCTTTATTCGTGTTTTATCTCTTATCTATCAATTGATAACGTATCTTCATCTCATTACTTAGATCTGAGATATATTTTGTTAAAACGATATCCATTCAGACTAAAATCACCAATAATAATTTGAAGAGACCATATTAGAGGGTCGAGATAAGATACATTCACTCGACGCTACATTCAATAAATCGCCATTTCATTAAAATGTATTTAGCCTTTGCGATGGAGAACAAATGAAGAGATGGCGCTGTGTTTAACATATCGTATCAATACGCTTAAAATACATGATAGAAATATGATCTAGCATTATAATCTCTTATGAGTATATAGTAGATATATAATCGTGTAATTTTCCTCACAACCATAATAATTTAAAAATAATATATCTTCATTTCAATTTATTCATAGATAAAAAATGACATGTGTACAAAAAATTAAAAAAAAACTATTTTTTTACAATAGTCAATGAACGCACAGTACCAAGTATTGTTTTCTGTTTAAAAAAGAAAGAATAAACAGATTTATTTTAAAAAATTAAAAAAATAGTTTTTACTTACACTGCTTGTTTTGTCGAATATAGAAACGGATAATGGTTGTTGTAGTAAAACAGGAGTAGTAGAAGTTGCAGTTGTTGTCGTCTGAAAAATAAAGAATAGCATGATATAAATTAATAGGTACAAGGAATGTCTCAACCGTTTCGACTTGTTTCAATCAAAATGAAATTATAGTAAAATTAAACAGGACCATTCTGAACAAACTAAGCAGTTTCTGGATAAATTTCTTTTGAAAAGCGAGAGAGAGTGAGAAAGACTTATACTCATAATATATACATATTTAAAATATTCTTCTTGATCTTTATAAAAATATTTTGGCATGAATGTCGTTTGCTACAAATAAACAGATTGTTAGAACAATATGCGAAATATTGTAAAAGTATAAAACTTTATCAAATTTAATGACCATCTGTTTTCAACTATTTAAAAACTTCTTCGATATTTTACTCCGGACTAAAACTTCTAACCTGATGTGCTGATGAAAGTGCAGGTGTATGAAGTACATTAGAAGTAGTGTTGATTACATTGTTCATGTTATTAATTTCCTAAACGAACAATCATAGAAAGTTACACAAAATGTTACGTATACAAGGAAACTTGTAACCTGATGTGGTGGTGAAACTGTAGGTAGACGATGTTCATTGATATTGCTGTTGATGGCATTGTCCATATCAGTATCAGTTTGCTAAATGAATAAGTGTAGAAAAATCACATAAATTGTCACATATATTATATTTACGTGTTCGAGAAAAACGATTACTGTTCGAGCAGTATAGAACAGTTCATTTATTTCATCATTTGAGACTAAATTCGATGTTTCATATGGACTTGAACAATAGACAGAACGGTTCTTTAATTTAATAACTGATAAAGTATTATATTCATCAACTAATAATGCAGATACTGGCTTATATACGTGTTTATTTCTAATATGATCAGTTAATTCAACATGAAAATTAATAACAGTATTGAATGTTGTATGTGATAAACAACACATTAAGATAGATGGACATTGCACATGTATTTGATTGTGAATAGGTAAAACTATACGTTTTGTTTTTTCATTGCAGATCGAACAATGAGAATCAAGCAATTCTTGATATAATAAAGGCATACCATAAACACAAGTATTGTCTGAATTTTGTTCGTAAATATGAATACAATCATATAACAATGATAATGAATCTGATGAAGAACTGCATTTGTTGCAAATATAATATGTAATAGAAGTTGAAAGTAGACGACGACGAAGTTCACTAAATTCTTCATTATTTTCGATAATTTTAATTGCATCACGTAAAGTTTTATATGGTTCAATTCTATCATGTTTTATATTCATAGTAAATGAACAACATTGAGCAATTGCATATAAAAAATTAGAGCTACAAGTTCGAACACGTTCCAGAATAATAATTCGACTAGTAGCAAACGACTTGGAGAAATTTATACCATTTCCTATTAGCTTTTGTAGTGGATTAACATACCAACGTTGTTTTATTTTTGTTACAGACATTAATTTTTTTTCTTTCATATCAGCACTTGAGCAAACAGATAAAAATCCTACTACATCAAATACAGTTGATGATACACAGCCAATACTAGACTTGTCCATAAATTGACTAAAACAAATTGCATCTGGTGATTTGCATGATGTTGTAGATGAATCTTTGTTATGATCTATCTTCAGAATAATTACAGACGGACCTAAAGATATAGATAGTAATTAAAAAGTTATCTGATAAATGATTGAAACTTTTAAAATTCTTACAATCAATTATTTTTATATGTCGAAGCATATATGAATGACATTTGGTACATTTATAATCGGATATATTACCAGTAAAATAATTTGATAATTGATCATCAAGATGGAATTGATTCTTCAACATGCTAATTAGAATATAATTAATTTCACTTCTGGTCTCAGTAATGAATTGACAAGATGTACAAGTATAAATTATTTTTACAGGTATTGGACGACCAAGTAATTCAATAAGAATTTTATCGAGAATATATGCTATTTGTTGATCAATATCTGATGGAACATTTAGTGGTAAGTGAAATTTAAAATTTAATAATTCTTTCTGTTCTGGACTAGTTTTCTTTGGTGGTTTAATACGATTCAAACATAACATCCAGTTACTAATAAAGTGAATAATTTCCACTGATATTGATCGCATTGTTAATGATGATTGAGGAAGTGTGTCACGAAAGACTTTAATTGATAATAAAATTCCCAAGGTAACATTAAGCCAATTTGAAACAGGAAGAACAGGTATTACAAGACCACTATTAATTGTAGAAGGACACATTATTAATGCATTTTTAAGATTGTTTTTGATTAATTCATTTGGAGGTTTGCAATAATATCCATGACCACGATGATTTGGTTGTCTCCATTTTTCTCGAACTTCATTTAATACTAATTGACGATCATTTTGAAGATTATCAGTTTGAGAACATGTTGCCATATATGAAACTGAAAAAGTTTCCACCAATCTTATCATATCATAGACAAGAATTTGTAGAACCAGATCAACTCGTGTACGAGTTTCAACTCCTTTAAAAAAAAATTGATAGTATAATTTTCTATATGACAATAGATGAAATTTCCTACCAAGCTGAGTTCTTTTCACAATTCCCATGCGTCGTTCCGATATAGCATTTGTTCTCTGATCATGTGTAGAAACAAGTAAAGTATCAAATGCATGAACAGAAGATTGACCATGACGTGATAGGTTTCCTATTTAAAAATTTCAATTATCAATTTTTCGTAATTTAAAATACAAATTAACATACCAAGTAACAAATTCGACCATATGGCAACAGTTGGCATACATCGTTGATTTATGAACAATAACCACATACGAGATCCTTTCGATATTTTATCTGTTGATGATGGTGTACCATTAATTTTAATACTTTCTTCACAACATTCATAATAAATAGTATTTAAATCATTTTTAAATGGACTATCAAATTCGTTTAGCTCCTTTTCTTCATCAATAACCTACAATTAAATTGAAAATATCTCAATAAATTTCAACTTTAAATATAGAAAAACATTAAAGCAAAAGAATATATAAATCTGATATATATATATCAATAGTAGTTCTCTTTAATTATTAAGCAATCATCTGTTACTTAACAGGTATTAATCATGAAATTCAATGAAACTCCTAGCTCATTAAAAAAACTTTTAGAATGAGTTTGAAATGAGAATTTTGTTCTCATTAAAATATATCCATGAACAATATTTGATTATGCTCATGATAAAAACTTTTGAATCAATAATTAATTTAATCACATGAAAGGTATATGTTTCATCTATATCTGTATCATCTATATTTTCGATACTTCTACGGTTGTCGTTTCTATTTAAATTCTTCACACGAAAAAGATCAATATAAACATAAATGAGTGGAAAATTATATATCATTAAATTATTAAATACTGTTGAATAAACATACATGTGAAGTACTACATTTTTTCTTTTTTCGACTTGTTTTACGGCGTTTATTTGAATGTAACTCATTTTCTTCATCAGTATCAAATGAATCGTCTTCGTCGTTGAATTCAAATGGATCATTGGTATCACTAATTCCATCTTTCGAATTGCTAATTGCTTTAGATGCATTTGAATCAATGGTTATCTTCGAAATACGAGACAGAAGAATGGTGTAATATTTTTTGAAATGTACGTTGCTGTTCGTTGTATTATTAAGAAAAACTTGACAAATTAAACGCCAGTTTTCTTTTATTTCGTTGTAAGTATTACTATTTACCATAAGGGCCATGGCCCACATAGCAAATTCACGTATTTCATCGGGTAAATGTTTATTTACTCGTTTTCGCATGTCCTATTCAATAAAGACATTCGTAAAAACTACATATATATATTTATATTTAAAAAAAAATGTATTCTTACCAACATGAAATGTGATAAACAAGCATGAATGTTTGTTTTGGAAAAATCCGTTGGATGAGCTCGTTTTGTTACAATACGATAAGCTCTAGAAAGAAATTGTCGATAGTTTTCTTCATTGAATATAAGCAAGGCTGCTTGTAAAAATATTTGTGCACGATCAGATAAGATAATTGCAGGTTTTGGAAAGCGGTCTTTTTTGTGCGGAAATATCTAGTAATAATATAAAAGAAATATAATTGATTGTTGTATTTATGGATAAAAACAATGCTTTCTTATGATTTTATCTACTATCATAAAAACTATATTTGATAATTTTATGCCAGATAAATTCGCTAAAAAAATATATTGCAGAAGAAGACTGGTATTATAATCAATATTTTATCCCACTTATGAAGCATTCTAATAAGTCATTATCTATCTGAAATATTATCATATTCTACAACTTTTAATTGTATCTATCATCAAAAACCAGTGAACAAGAAATTGAAAAAAAAAAGTTATTAATATAAAGTATATTATTTACCTTTTTGTGGTTCTCTTTGAATGCTCCTAACCATTGAGTAATAGTAAATAGTGATTGAGATTCTGATAACATAAATGTTAATGGTATTAACGAATCTTCATTGACAATATTAGGATGAGAAATAGTCAGTTCATAATACAAAATTTGTTTCGATGTAAAATTCTTCACAACACCACCTGTGGCGTCCCAAGACAATACAGAATCTTTATGTTCAACAATAGCATCATATAAACGAATAGATGCTTCTGTAAAAACAATTGAACAAAATGGATGGGATTGAACAATTTGAAGTGCGCCACGAAGTGTAGTACCTTTAACATCAAAAACTAGTTGATCATGTAAACGATCAATACCTGTTGCAACATCTGGTGCAAGTAATGATTGTGCAACTACTTCAGCTTTTATTTTTTTGAAAACTTTTTTTGATTTACCAGTAGTATCATAATTAAAACCTTGTTTTTCAAGTGTTGTCCTTTTTTCAGCATATTCAGCATGTACTCGAAAAACAGAACCGCCAGCTTTAAATTTTTCCATTATTTTTTCACGTTGTGAACCACGAACAGGACGGCAAATTGGATCACCTATATGATGATAAACTGTGCTGTTGCTTGTGATTAGATAACATTCACCACCATTCCTAACAAATACTTTACATCCAAATTTACAATCACGACCACTACATTGAAGAACACATCTAAGAAGAAGACTAGTTGATTGACTATAATCATGACCAAAATAACGTGTAACCACACATAACCCACAATATGGATTATAATGTTTCAAATGAGGCCATAATATGTTAAAATATTCGATGTTGACTGTTCTTCCTGATGGTGTATCATATTCGTTCATGTTAATGGAATAAATATTGCTGCTTTTGTTATTGGAAATGGATTTTAATTTGCTCAAATTTTTATATTCTGATGATAAAAGTGATGGTTCAGGTGCTAATCCTAATTTTTTTCATTTTATTATCATATTCTTTCTTGTGTATTATTTGTCGACAATTAAACATCTCAATAAGTTCTGTTGATGTTAATTTGAATTGGTATATATCAGGTAATTTACATTCAAAAATTTCTTGTAATGGTACACCTGCTGCTACTGAAGTTACAATACGACTAATATCTATACGAAAAAAAAAAATTATTCAACAATACTGAATTAAATTATGAATTATCATATAGAACTGTGATAACATATATAAAAATAATTCACTTAATAAGCTGATTTTGCTAACCTCTTTGTGAATCAGATGTACCAGTAAGTGATTTATTACTAATAGTAATACTACTTTGAGTAAATCCTGGTGGTGGTATTTCGACATTAGCAGTAGAAACGACATAGTTATCTACTGAAGAGCATTGTAATGGTTGACGTTTAAATGTACGATTATTATTTATGCGTCCATGAGATGCTTTACCATAAAAAAACATAGAAGCATCTTTGTTGTTGAATACTTCTTCTGTTGATACTTGTCGATAATGTGTATCATTAACAAGAAACCAATTATTTTTTGATGTTCGAATATATGCATGATAATGTCCATTTTTATTGTTATCACTAATGTGATTAATAATTGCATATAATTGATAAATATAATTATTTGATTCCGTATTATTTTGATTTTCTTTGTTTGAATCAAGTACTTTATCAGTTATATATGGATACATATTTAGTAAATCATCATAATTTACCATTTGTGTATGTTTTCTTGTTGAAGAACCGAATCCAGTACTTCTTTTCAAATTAATAATTAGTATTGGTGGTAAATCATCAAATGTTATACGTTTAGCAGCATTAACAAGACTTGAGCAGTTAGCACAACGATATGCATTATCATTTGTTAAAATTTCTGGTTTAATAAAATGTGCAATTGCATCATTTAAATAATTCATATTATTAATTTCGATACATAATGTAGAAACAAATTCTTCACTTGTACTAATGTTTGAACATGATGAACATTCAATGGTATTTAAAAGTGTGATACGAAATATTTGATCAATGATTGTCATCGTTGGTTCAACTTTAGATAAAATTGCCATGTGAGAAAAAAAAACAATCACCAAAGTGATCTAATAAGCTTATAATAAATAAATGAGCATCTTCTTGCTCCCCCAAAATAAAACTTGGTGATAGTTTATTCAAATTTGTTTTAATGCATTCAGCTGATGTAACAACAATTGCATCTTCATTGATAACATTTTCTTTTGAAGATGAATAAATAGTTTCTATTATATTTGTTAATTGACAAATGGAGCAAAACTTCTCCATATTCGATAATTGACCTACAAAAATTCATTGATATAAATTTTCGAAATATAAAATAAAAAAAAAATTTTATATTGATTACATGTGATTCAGTTTTAAGAACTATTAAATGAAAACTAACTTATAGTCCTCTTATATGTTATTAACTAATCTAATAACTAATCTAACAGCAATTTTAATTTTAATTTAACAACTATTTGTCATATTACAAAAAAATATATAAATCCTAACTATAGAATCGTTTGTTGAAAAAATAGTTCTTATGTTCTATTTTTCTGATTGAAGAGTGGCAATGAGCTATTTATTCACCATTTCGAATTAGATCAAAAATGAATACAATCAAAGTGGTGTGCACATGCACCGTAATTGAGATTAGATTACATTAACTGTGTTCATTTGTTCTGTAAGTGTTAATAAGTAACAACATACGAAACATAAAAGATAAATTAATTAACGTATTTGTAATGAAAAGTATTCTTGTCAACTATATACTAATTATATTTTATGGATGTCAATATTCAAATTCGTAATCCAATTAATTATGAAAAATTAGTATTTTTGTTTTACAATTAGTCAATAGAAAAAAACAGATGAACATAAAACAAAAAAATGTAATCATAATAATTTTTGCCGGAACATGATAATAAAAAAAAAGAACAATATAATTGTAATATGATCATATAATCACGATGTTCGATTTATATATATTTTTTTTCGAAATATAATAAATACTTAGTAAATTATTTATTATTATTAAATTAATTGATAACATATACGAGGGTGCATATAGTCACTTGGCTATGTACACCTGGGTAAACGTGGCTGCTTCCTAGTTTTTTTTCCATGCTGATATAACTAGTGCAAGATGTCATTTACTTACACGTAGTTAAATGATATTTTTGTTTCATCATCCAATCAACTAATGGAGGTGTACTAGCTAAACATTGAAGAGTTGCATTGATATAACACGAAGCACCATCCATGTTACTCAAACCAACAAAATTTTCACGCAATTTATTCCAATCCATATATGGTTCTGTAAAAGTAAATGAAAGACAATTAAATCGAAGAAATTATATTTTACTTGTATCATCTATATTATATGTAACATTGTTTCTCGTACTATTGTTGATGGGATTTGATATATCAGTAGCTTTAATGTGATCTTGTGTTGAGTTGCCTAGAAAAATACGATAATTAAACAAAAAAAGCATTTCCCCGATTAAATAATAATACATCTACTAGACTTACTCGCACAGTCATTAATTCTCTTAGGAGTCGATGTAAAAATATTTCCAAAAACAGTTTGTTCATTTACTAAAATATAGAAAACATCATAGAATTACATATCCAAGAGATAATTTTCTTATTATGAAGTTTTTTAAAACATACGATTTAATGATTCGTCGTGCAAGAATGATTTGTTTGTATTTGATAAAAGTTGTTTTCCTGATTTAACATGAACATGATCAATAGTTTGCACATAATTCAATGATTGATGTAATGGTATATTTAGAAGTCGTCGGTAAAAGATCATCGTGCTTAAATATTCAATACCTTTCGTCGATAATCGATTTTTCCATATATCAGGAATTGTAATATTTTTTAAGTATCTCTCCCATGTTATATCATATTTAGCAAGACGACCTTGAAACATCATATCCGCCTCATCAGGTACTAATTTGATATAACCATTAGGATCAATATCATCAACATCTTGAAATAAATCTTCTACATGGACGAGAAAATAATCGTCTACAAGAAGTTCTACAGCTTCAAATTCAATTTTCGAAAAATTTGCTGTAGCAATAACACCACAGGAATCTTTTAAAATAGACTTTGCTTTTTCAAAAATACGACGATCACGGGTATTTGGTGGTAGTTTTGGTGATGCGTGTTTCAACATTAATTGTAATCCATCCATATCGTCGTCGTTATCATCATATGATTCTTGATCGGAATCATTCGAAGACATGTCGAATTCTTATTTTTTTTATCTGAAATACAACAATATATATATATATATATATATTAATACATAATTAAAATAGTTCGTATAAATTTATTAAAGTGAAATTTTTTTCTCACGAATTGATTTTTCCTTGATTATTTTGCAAACATATTCATATTCTAAAGGAAAACAATATAATCGATATAAATTGGTAATATTCTTTTTTTTCTCGCTCTGTATTAACATGTTATTACAATATATTAGACATAAAAAGTGAATTATGTATATGTTCTTTTTACTAATCAAATAAATTAAAGTGTACCATTTTATTTTACTGTGAAGTAGGTGGATCATTTATTGTCTGATAATGAGACAGTTCAAAAAAAACATGTGCAACAGAACTGATAAAAAAAAGTATGACAGAAACATCATATTAAATAACATATAATGATACAAGCAGGTATAAGAATCAAAATTTTATTTTTGGATCAAATTTTAAACAATTGTTCTTCTATTTAAGTGAAATATATACTTTAACAAATTATATACTCGATTTATGACAAATCTTTTATGAAAATGTACAAAATATTGTGATAATGAATTTTTAGTAATCACAGATTAATCACTCATAAAAAATGATTAATATTGATCAAGTAGATTTTTCTGTTTCATTTAATATCAATTAAATAACGGCAGAGCAAGGACTAGTACAAGTACTATACTTGTACTTTTAGAAAGGTACTTGGTACTTCTACATGAAAGATCAATACAATATATATTTTCGAAATAAGATTAGTATATCTGATTATTATAATGCACTGATAGTTTACTACGTAATTTATTTAATATTCTCTCATGATATGTGTTTGTAATATAACAGTTAGAATAAATATAATCAAAGCAACAGACATTGTATAATGAAATGAGTGAATGATATTAAACAATATTATTTACATAACAGTTCGGCCATATCTTCATCTAAGAGATAGTTTTAAAACTAACTCTTAGTTTCGATGTACTTATATATTTCTTCTTCACTTTTTTATCAGTAATTGTTTTATCAATGTTACATTTAATACAAAAACTACATGTATAAATCCTTACGTTCTAGCTCTGAAAGAAAACAGAATACCTTTATGTTAAGAGCATATTTTCAACAATGAATATCTGTTGCCGTTCATGAATAAAAGAAGTAAGATAGAGTAAGGATTTTCGTCAATGCTTTGCTTGTTTTTAAAATGAAAAATCTATATGTAGTCAATATATTTGTAATTATTTCTTGATGTCACATGTTTTCTTTTAATATTGTCCATGATAGCCTATTTTGAATAAATCAGAATACGGTTTCTCTTTGTTAGCCTATTTCAAATACACCAGAATACGATTTTTCTTTGCTAGATTATTTCAAAGATATCAGAGCA